TTTTATAAGTGGAATGAAAAATTCTAGTATTAAGATAATAATCTTTTCTTAGTGGTAATATTGCCATTCTATAAATCTTTAAGTATGTAATACAGTAGTAATAATGATAATAATAATTTATAATACATACCCTTATTTATGAAATAAATTCAATAAAAACATTTGTCAAATAAGTTAATAAATACTGCAATTATTATTATATATATCTAATAAGTTGTTATCTATATTAAATTGTAAAAAAATTCAATAAATTGAATTGTTAAAAATGGACTTTTGTATTTGTGTTTTCTATTTCAATTTAAAGTTTGTAACAGTAAATTAAAGTGTTCAAAATAAGTAAATTTGCTTTTATCAAATTTATAATTTTGTTTTCAAGTTAGCACGTATGCCAGTCTTTCTCTGTATTGTTACTTTAGAAATAAATATATACTCCTAATGCACACTACTCTATTTTTTGTTTGCAATTAAAATGCTTAATTTTGCTTGGTTTCTGTGTGCTAATTAACGAACTTGCCAATTTGTTCACGTAAAAGTTTTTGTCTGCATAAGAGCTTTCGTAACAATTTACCTGAAAAATGTATAGATTGCATACCATATATCTGTGAAAAACTATGTAAGAAATTGCACAAATTAGACTATAAGTTCAGTAGACCTCAGTAAACCGTAGACGTACAAACCTTTGCATTAATTTGTACAATTTTGTTAGTTAACTTTTTAAAGGATATATGGTATACCCTATACCCTTTATCAAATGACCACAAAACTTTAAGTTCAGTTTTGCCAATTTTTGGATGTCAATCAAATAATTGTAATGGATGAAATGGAACTTTTTTTTATTGAATATGGTAGAGACTAGATAAACTAGTTAAACTAGTTTTCTTTTATTGACATTTATTAGAACCAAATTTGTATGTTGGAACTTGATGTTTAGTGGTCAGGCATAATGGAAACTGCAGTGATAAGATTTTAACCATTCAGTTCAAACTAATTCAGCAGTTTTCATATTTTCTTAGGAATGTGAGATTGCTGAACTAATGAAGAACTCTGGCAGCAATTCAGAGAGATTGACATATTTAAATGACCAACTCAGAGAGAAAGACAGGTATGGCTAACATCTAAATATCTTTAATAATATTAAATAATCTAGGTTAARCTCATCACTAGCAGATGAGCTTATGGCATTTAGCATTTAGCTTATGGTTGCCAGAGGGTAGTGATAGCAAATATCATAATGCAAATGATTATTGGCCGATTATTGGATAGCGTGCGATCAAGTTGACCCATAAGCAATAAATAGTGTTGATCAAAATCGTGGTAATTACCAATCAAATAGCTCAGACCTGCTAATGACCAAAGATAATGCTAGCGTAATCACTAGAACTGCATGTGATTGTAATAGCATGTGTTTAACGTATATAGGTGGCCAGCGGGCAGACAACAAATGGGAACAGCTGCTATCGTAGGCTATTTGCTGCTACACAGATCGAGTCTAACTTTGCCTAAATTTCATTTATCCATATAAAGCATTGGTAGGGTAGAAGTGAGGGACTCAACTGTCACTTCTGGCACCCATATTCAGTTTCCAAGCTCACTATATTATTTATGTATATTAATTTTAATCATTTTTAGTTGGGAGATTTCCTATAWCAAATAAACAGTATGGAAGTTTCTGTGTCATAATTACAATAGTTATTTCTGGCAATTTGGTATCAAAYATTARGGGYCAAWTGGTYYTGAGAAATTWCAGGGTCTTGCAAAATTTTCTTAAATTCTCATTTTTTTAAAATTGCTGTTTCAAAGGCTAAATTTTGGCCTTCGATTCATGTTGTGTTGGAGTCTCAGTCTAAAGGAGTCTTGGCCTTAAATTCTGAAGTAAGCGTCTTGTGGTCTAACAAAGTCTTTCTTGACCATTTGGCACCCCTAAATATTATACCATGTAATATCAACCATTACTACTGCATGTTAGGATGCTGGATGAGTTAAAGGGAGCATCAGCAGAATCACAGATCCAGATTGCAAGACTCACTGAAARTGTTGCAGAGGCAAAGGTTAATAAAAATACATTGTATTCTTGTGTAGAGCAGAGAGAAACAGGCATTTGAATATTCACCTTGATCTCTATCCTTTAAGCCATTTTTCTCCCTCCATATATCTTTGTGGCTGTTTTATTCTTCCTTCCTGATTCGTTCCTCTCCTCTGCAAAACTGACTGAAAATGTTGCAGAGGCAAAGGTTAATAAAAATGCATTGTATTCTTGTGTAG